CGGCCGGGGAGCCCCCCCCCCAACCCGGGCTGCGCCTGCGCGGACACCCGCGCCGCCAGCGCCGGGCCGGCGCCGCCCTCCTGGGAAACCGGCAGCTACCGGCGTGTGCGCGGGCGGGCAACCGGCCGGCCTGTCTGCAAGCCTCCCTCCGCGGCGATGGGGGACCCGCCGCCCGACCCCGAGCAGCCGCCGCCCGGCAGCTCCCAGGGCCCCGAGCCGCGGCGCAGCGGGGAGGCCCCCTTCGTCCAGTTCTCGCTGCCCCCGGAGGGGCCGCGGGCCGAGCTCGAAGCCCCGAGGGGCAGCCAGGAGGGGCCGGGGGCCGACGAGGAGCCGCCCTCGGACTCCCAGCGCCTGGCCTACCTGGACGAGGACGAGGACGGGCTGCAGGCCGAGCTCCTGGAGCAGCTGCAGCAGGGCCGGGGCAGCCTCCTCCAGCAGCTGGAGGCGGCCTTCCAGGACCCCCCGCCCGACGCCGCGGGCCTGTTCAGCTACCAGCGAGAGGACCAGCCGTTCGGCGAGGACGCCCTGCACGGGCCCTACGCGAGCGATGACCCTTCGCTCCAGTTCTCGCCCTCCGAGCTGGGCTTCCTGCCCTTCGACATGGAGGTGTCGGAGCCGGAGCCCCGGGAGCTGGCCGTGCAGAACGCCAAGGCCTACCTGCTGCAGACCAGCATCAGCTGCGACCTGAGCCTGTGAGCGGGCGCCCCGAGCGGGGAGGGACGGGCCCGGCGGGGAGAGGCCCCGCCAAGACCCCCCTCAGGCTCCGGGGGCTCCTCCGTCCGGGGATCGCTCCGGAGCCATCGCACTCGGACTGAATACTCACAGTAGCTGGAAAGCCAGTCGTTACCCACCAGGCATTGTGCCGGCCCTGCACACGTCGCCCTTCGTGCTCACATCACAGCTGGGATGGGCACCTCCACTGTCCCTATTTTATTTTATTTTTTAAAAAATATATTTTATTGATTTTTTACAGAGAGGAAGGGAGAGAGATAGAGAGCTAGAAACATCGATGAGAGAGAAACATCAACCAGCTGCCTCCTGCACACCTCCCACTGAGGATGTGCCCGCAACCCAGGCACACGCCCTTGACCGGAATCGAACCTGGGACCCCTCAGTCCGCAGGCCTACACTCTATCCACTGAGCCAAACCGGTTTCGGCTACTGTCCCTATTTTAGAGGAGGAAACAGACACAGCAATTCGGGCCCGCATCCCGGATAACACAGCTCCAATGTAGCAGAGCCGGGATTCCCGCACAGATGATTTGGGGGGAGGGGGGCTGCTATTAACTAAACTTTCCTGCTGGAGGAAGGCACTAGCCAAGGCCACTTGGCTGTAGTCATAATGCATCCCTCAGCCCCCTTCCCCATGACCTCCTCATGGAGCTCACATTCCAGTGGGAGAACGGACAATGAATACAGTGCATGGTAAGGTGAGAAAGTAAGGCAGGATGCGGGGAGCGGGAGCGCCCGGTAAAGAGCATAAGGTCAGGGAAGGCCTCGCTGGGCAGCCCAGTGACCAGTGACCTGAGCATGGTGAGGGCGGGCACCTTGCCAACAGCGAAGCGTACGGGACACAGCGGGTCTGAAGGCTTTAAGGGTGGCTGTGTTTGAGGCACAGCGAGGAAGCCGGTGTGACTAGAGCTAGGGGAGGAGATGAGGTTGCAGAGGTCGCAGGTCTTGCTAAAGCACAAAGCGGACCCCCATCCCTCCCATGCTCAGAACCTGCCGTGGTTCCCCAGTGTCCTCAAAAGAGGGTTCATGTTCCTCACAGGCCTTAAACATAACTCAGCCCCTGCCTGCTCTCCAAACTTCAGCTCCTAGAGCAGCGGTTCTCAACCTGGGGGTCGAGACCCCTTTGGGGGTCAAACGACCCTTTCACAGGGGTCGCCTAAGACCAGCGGAAAACACATATAATTACATATTGTTTTTGTGATTCATCACTATGCTTTCATTATGTTCAATTTGTAACAATGAAATTGGGGGTCACCACAACATGAGGAACTGTATTAAAGGGTCGCGGCATTAGGAAGGTTGAGAACCACTAGAGTCAGTCAGAATCAACCAGTCACAGTTCCCAGCCCACTAAAGCTTCAAGTTCCCTTATTGAAAAGCCCTGGCCAGACACCGACCTCTCCTTATCCTTCCAAACGGATGGCCCCCCACCACACCCAAGACGTTGCCAAAGGGTTTCCACACCACAGGCGTTTGGATATACACCCTGTGGAAGCAAACCAGTTGGTCCTGGTGTTAAATCCTGGCTGTGCTACCAAATACAATTAGACCTCACATTTCCTAAGCCGGAGTTTCCTCATCTGGAGGGTGCGGACCATCATTGTCCCTCATATGACTGCGGTGAGAATTCAACACCACTGCTCTCAGGCGCCCAACATACCGCCTGACTTGGTGAATGGAAACCATTGCCATACGGTCATCACTCCGGCCTCCTCTCCTGCCACAGCCCTTCTCCCTCCTCCCCTCCAGCCACACCGACCTCCTCCGTGTTCCTTCCACGTGCTAGGCACACCCTCAGCTCTAGGCCTCTGCACGTCATTCCCAATCACATCATCTATGAGCCATGACAGTTTTGCCTCGTCCTTTTCAAGACTTCTCTTTTTCATGTCAGATTGCATTGGCTGAAGCCTCCAGTGCAGAATTAAATAGAAGTGAAAGCAGGCATCCCCAATCGCATCATGGAAAGCACTATAGTCTTTTGTCACGTTTGGTGTGTGCTGTAGGTTCCTTGTAGCTATCCTTTACAAGATTATTTAAAATTTGCCTTCTATTCTTGGTTTCCTAGGTTCTTAAAAATCATGAATGGGTGTTGAATTTTATCAAACAACTAGAGGCCCAGTGCATGAAATTCATGCACTTGGTGTGGGGGGTGGGGGGTGGTCCTCAGCCTGGTCTGTGCCCTCTTGCAGACCAGGAGCCCTCAGGGGATGTCCAGGGGGAGTGGACCTAAGCGTCAGTCGGACATCCTTAGCCCTGCCGCAGAGGCGGAAGAGGCTCCTGCCACCGCTGCTGTGCTCTCCAGCTGTGAGCCTGGCTTCTGGCTGAGCAGCGCTCCCCTGTGGGAGTGCACTGAACACCAGGGGGCAGCTCCTGCGTTAAGTGTCTGCCCCCCGGTGGTCAGTGCGCGTCATCGTGACCGGTCGTTCTGCTATTCGGTTGATTTGCATATTAGCTTTTTATTATATAGGATTTCTCTGCACCTATTGAGGTGATCTTACCGAGCCCCTTTAACACACTGTCATGACGAGTTATAGTTTTTTCTATTTTCCTAACATCCATCCAGTCTTACATCCCTGTCAATTCATCCAGTTTAACCATGGTGTGTCATCCTTTTGAGCAATTGCTGGATGCCATTTTGCTTAGGATTTCAGCATCTCTTTTCTAAATGAGGTCAGCATGGAATTATTTTTCTCCTGCTGAAAATTGCAAACCATCACCTATCCTGGGCATTCTCAGTCCCATTCCCTGCTTTATTGTCTCCTTAGAAATCATCACCCCTGACAGTATGTATTTTGCATATTTGGTTAATGTCTGTCTCCATCATCAGAATGTCAGCTCCACTCGGGCAGGGATCCTGTCTCCTCTGCTGTGTCCCCAGGGCCAGGCCCAGGGCCCGGCATAGAGCAGTGAGCCGAGCGAGTAATGTCCCCCACCTCCCACTCCCTCCGGAGGCAGGTATGAGCACCTGGTGAACATGCTGACCAAAATCCTGAACCAGCGCCCAGAGGATCCCTTGGCCATCCTGGAGTCGCTGAACCGCACGACACAGTTGGAGTGGTTCCACCCCAAGCTGGACTCGCTGCGGGATGACCCCGAGATGCAGCCCACCTACGAGATGGCCGAGAGGCAGAAGTCGCTATTCGTCCGGGGCGGCGGCAGTGCGGAGGGCGAGCAGGAGATGGAGGAGGAGGTGGTGAGTGAGCCAGTGGGGAGGCGTGGCGGGTGAGTGGCGGCCCAGACTTGGGCATCGCCTGTGCTGCAGCCTGGAAGGGAGGGAGCCTGTGGACTCCAGACATGCAGATGATCTCAGTTTAATGTGTGTGTCCAGGGGAGGGGCCGGGACCCTGTCACAGCGGGCTAAGGGGTGCAGGCTTTCTCCCGAGGCCACTGGGGCGCCTTGGAAGGTCTGGAAGCTGAGGAAAGGCTGGTCAGCTCTGCTCTTTGGGAAGCCGACTCCAGCTGCCATGTGGAGGTGAATTGTCCCCTACCCCCTGGCCTCGGTTTCCCCTTTTGTAAGTTGAGACCTGCCAAGAACTCTCTCACTGACTCGTTTCCAGAATTGGATGACTGCTTAAAATTCAGGTGGAGTATTCTTTCACTCGTTCAAGAAACATTTGTTGAGGACTCTCTGTTTATGATCACTCTGACGCCTCTTACGACCTCTGCGAAGACCTTCAGGAGTGTTGGCTCCTTTCAACCCTGAAACAACCTGCAAGGCAACTGCTACTTATTATATTCGTACTAGAGGCCCAGTGCACGGATTTGTGCACCGGTGGGGTCCCTCGGCCTAGCCTGTGGGGATTGGGCCAAAACCGGCTCTCCAACATCCCCCAAGGGGTCCCAGATTGCGAGAGGGTGCAGGCCGGGCCAAGAGACCCCACCAGTGCACAATCGGGGCCGGGGAGGGACATAGGAGCTTGGCCAGCCGGGGAGAGATGCAGGAGGGCTCCAGGGCATGTCCAGCCCGTCTAGCCCAGTCCCGATCAGCCAGACCCCAGAAGCAAGCTAACCTACCGGTCGGAGCGTTTGGCCCCTGGTGGTCAGTGTGTGTCATAGCTAACGGTTGAATGGTGGAACGGTTGGTTAGGCTTTTATATGTATAGATAGATTTGCAGAAGAAGGACTTGGGCTCAGAGGGAACCAGGAAGGCAAGACCTTGGCCTCCAAAGCCGTGCTAAGCTCTGCCCGGTCTGCAGATGCTGTTTGTCTGTGCTGGCTTCTGAGATGCTAGGATTCTGGCGAGAGTGGGGTGGGCTGGTGAGAGAACCAGGAACAACAATCTGGCAAAGAAATGAGCCCTGGTGAGCAGAGTGCACTTGGGAATACAAGTTTTAGGCACAAAGGGGGACAGTTTAGTTTTATTTGAGAAAATAGTTTTGCATTTCAAATCGACAGTCTCTCCTGGGGAGGCCCCCACCCCCTTAGAACTGCACCTTTCCTCCTCCGCACCCCAACCCCGCACACCGATCAACTCCCTTAAGGCCCCGCCTCCTTAGAATGCTTTACCCCCAGAGGCTCCGCCTCCTTAGAACTCCTGGCTTTTGGAGCTCCGCCTCATTGAAATTCAATATCTTGGGAGGGTCTGCCCCTTAGAACTTGGAGTTCTTCTTCTTCTTTTTTTTTAAAATTGATTTCAGAGAGGAAGGGAGAGGGAAAGAGAGATAGAAACATCAGTGATGAGAGGCTGCCTCCTGCATGACGGGATCGTGCCCGCAACCTGGGCATGTGCCCTTGACCTGACTCAAACTCAGGACACTTCAGTCCACAGGCTGATGTCCTATCCACTGAGCCAAACGGGCTAGGACAGACGGAACTGGAGTTCTTAATGTGAGGTCTGCAGAAGGGTAAAATGTGGAAGTTTGTGGTCTGTGCAGGCTTCTTAGAAGAGACTCAAAGAAATTGATGACTCAGCATATATATTCTGTCTGATGGGAGGAAGGGCTCCCTCTCTCATTTTCTATTTCTTTCCGTGGCTAGCCATGACTCCCCTGCTGAGAAATGCCGCCTCTGCCATGGATGTTTACCTGTGCAGGACGCTCTGTCTGTTTCTGGACTCTCTAGTCTGTGCCTTCGCTCTCTGGCTGGCTTCCTGCTTGCTGTGGTCAGCGCCGCAGAGCAGGGCTGGCTGTTTGGGAGCCTGAGGCTCTCGTCACTGTGGCCTCTGATGTAAAAAGTTCCTATTTCCACGTTTACAATCGTAGACTAGCTCTAGTATTATGGTGTCACAGCCCAAACACTAACACCTTCCTCTACTTGCTGGGCGTACAGGTCACGTTAAGGCAGGAAGCAGGTGATGTCGCAGAAATGGAGGCATGTGGCTGAGACGAGACACAGGCTTTCCTCACACCTGAGAGTCAGGTTGCAAGCAGTCCTGGGCTGGCAAGGTGGCTCCCAGCAAAGGGGCACTGAGGGCTGGCTGTCTCCTCCCCTCATCCCTGCCCTCCCGCCCCGAAAGGAGCAGTGTGCAGGGGGGAGCCACAGAGTCTGATCTGTCATTCGGGGGCAGTTGACCATTCTTGTTCCAATCAACAGTGGCCGGAAGGGCAGGGTGAGACCGTTTAGATGTGGTTGTGTGGTAGGCAGTGGGAGCCCCACCAGGTGTGAGACCGGTGGGGTGGGACCAGACCTGGGTTCTGGCTAGGAAAGAATTCAGAGCCAAGACTCAAACTGTAAGAGAACATTTACATATAAAATCATCACAGAGGTAGAGGGAGTAATTCGTAGAAGAAATGGGCTGAGGAGCGGATTATGGAGGCAAAGGAAGGGCCCTTGGAGCTGGGGGGGTGAGTGGAGAGGGGGATGGGAAAGACACTGGTGTGCTCCCAGGAGGGAGAGCGACCTGGGTCCTCCCTCCTAAGGGTTTTCAGGGGGGAGATTTTTAAAAAATATTTTATTGATTTTTTACAGAGCAGACGGTGAAAAAGGAGGCAGTGCCAAGACCGGTTTGGCTCAGTCGATCAGCTGCCTCCTGCACACTGAAAGGTCCCAGGTTCGATTCCAGTCAAGGGCATGTGCCTGGGTTTCGGGCACATCCCCAGTAGGGGGTGTGCAGGAGGCAGCTGATCGATGTTTCTCTCTCATCGATGTTTCTAACTCTCTATCCCTCTCCCTTCCTCTCTGTAAAAAATCAATAAAAAATATATATATAAAAAAAAACTTAAAAAAAAAAAAAAGAAAAAGGAGGCAGTGAGGGCAAGATTTGTCACCGCCATCCTCCAACATCACTGATTCCTGGGTTCAAGACCTGCCTCTTAATTTGCTGTGTGATTTGGGGGTGTCTCTTAAAAGTGCATTTAGTTGCAAGTCGCAGTAAACATGACCAGCAGTGGGGAGGTAAGGCAGCTCAGCGAGGACCAGGCCGTTCCCACCTGTCAGCTCCAGCACCGTGAGGGCGTAAGACATGAGTTGCCTCATGGTCCCAATATAGCTGCTGCAACTCCAGCTCTCACATCCCACTCCAGGCAGGAACGGGAGGGAAGGAGGAAGAAGCAAAGGACTTTTTCTGAGTGTGATTTTGCCTTTTCCCTCAAGGGACATCCTCCCCAAGGACTTGCCCCGCTTCTAAATGCCAGAGGGCAGCAGGAGCGGCTGGGTTACCCAGGACTTGAGCTCTCTGGCCTCCAGAAGAGTCAGGCCAGGGAGCAGAACTCCAGCTTCCTCCCCTCTGCCCTCCCCCCTCCCCTCCGCAGGTAGACACGGCCGTGCCCAACGTCATGGAGTCGGCCTTCTACTTCGAGCAGGGCGGCGTGGGCCTGAGTTCCGATGAGAGTTTCCGCCTCTTCCTGGCCCTGAAGCAGCTGGTAGAGCAGCAGCCCATCCACACCTGTCGCTTCTGGGGCAAAATCCTGGGGCTCAAGCGCAGCTACCTGGTGGCCGAGGTGGAGTTCCGGGAAGGCGAGGAGGAGGTGGAGGAGGAGGAGATGGAGGAGCTGACCGAGGGTGGCGAGATCATGGATGCCCACGGCGAGGAGGAGGGCGAGGAGGACGAGGAGAAGGCCGCCGACGTCATCCCCAAGCCGCTCTGGAAGCCCCCGCCCGTCATCCCCAAGGAGGAGAGCCGCTCGGGCACCAACAAGTACCTGTACTTCGTGTGCAACGAGCCCGGCCGGCCGTGGACCAAGCTGCCGCACGTCACGCCCATCCAGATCGTGCAGGCCCGCAAGATCAAGAAGTTCTTCACCGGCTACCTGGACGCACGGTCATCAGCTACCCGCCCTTCCCGGGCAACGAGGCCAACTACCTGCGGGCCCAGATCGCCCGCATCTCGGCGGCCACGCACATCAGCCCCTGGGCTTCTACCAGTTCAACGAGGAGGAGGGTGACGAGGAGGAGGAGGGCGGTGCAGGGCGAGACTCCTTCGAGGAGAACCCGGACTTTGAGGGCGTTCCCGTGTTTGAGCTGGTGGACTCCATGGCCAACTGGGTGCACCACATGCAGCACATCCTTCCGCAGGTGAGGACCCG